TGGTAGGAGTAGGAGTGGGAGTGGGAGTGGGAGTAGATGGAGTGGTGGTAATTGTGGTAGTAGGGCTTTCAGTAGTGGAGGGAATGGTAGGACACACACAGCAGAGGACGCTGATTTCATAGTCGAGACAGACTTTTGCAGGAATTATTCCAGGAACCTGATCTTCGTTTTTGCAAATAAACCCAGTAGAAACATTACATGTCACTTCCTGTTTCAAGTCCTCCAATGACACCTCAGGAAATTTCTTCGCTCGGCATGATATGTTTTCTGGCTTCTCACAGATCGTTACGTTGTGGAGTTTGATGTTTTCATAAGTTTCATTGTCACCTTTTGTAATATCAATTTCTGGAACACTCACAGAAATCCATATAGACCACTCACAAATTGGGTTTAAACAAGGTGCTGTCAGGAAAGAGTGACAGAAACAGAAATTGCCTATTGTGAAAACAATACTAGAACAATGGTTCAAGCTATGATATGCTCTTATAAAATAAAAAGTTAGAATTAACAAGTGCTTTCATATGGATCAGGATTTCTTTCTTTGCTCATTAATATATTTGCTTGTGAATATCCTTTAGGGCAGGGGTGTCAAACTGCCAGCCCGTGGGCCGGATGCGTCACGTGGAAGCCGCGTGCACTCCATTGCCGGCAATGGCAAAACCGGCCTGATATGTTGCGCGACGTCATGTGACGTCGTGAGTTTGACATGTCTGCTTTAGGGCAAGGGTGGGAAATCAAGGCCCTTGTATGTCTTGTGTACTTCAACCCCCAGAATTCTTGACCCAGCTGGCTCAGGAATTCTGGGAGTTGAAGTCCACAAGTCATAAAAGAGCCATGGTTCCCCACCCTTGTTTTAGGGCTACAAGTCCTGGCCTTCAAAAACTGGGACAATCAATAGATGGCAATCCCAAGAAAATGCTTTGCTACCATTCATGGTTGCCTGGTTTTCTGCAGCTCAAACCTAATTAGTCCTAGCATTATTTATCATCCCAGATGTGGAATTGTATTGTTCATACTTGTTGTTCTGTTCTGCTCCTCTAGAATGTTTTTTCTTAAAATAGAAATTTCTCCACATCTGAATCCAGTTTTGGTCTACTGTATTCTCTTTCAGTAAGGATTACTACCCAATTTTAGTAGGATATCAACCCAAATGACAGATAGTGTAATTGACAGAAATTAGTCTGTTTACATGTACCATTTCTCAAACCCCTCACTCCGTAAATTAAATTGGTTGGTTATGTGAAAGAATAGTGTATAATATTCATGTAGAATAATAGTCTTATATTCTTTAATGTAGATGTGTTGGTGGAAGTGGAAAGGCTAAAATGTTGGTGTTACAAGAGCAATTAGAATGGAAAAAGGTGGCTACAAAAGTTGAAGTTGTGCTTACGTTTTCTAATATGGAAAAAGTATTAGCCTTATGCTATCATAAAAGTAGAGAAAACGTTTTTCCTTAAATAACACATTCATTCTTGAACATGGAATAACTTTCTTTGACTGAATGCATTTATGCTGACAAGCCCTTAGCACTGGGGTAAATTTTCTACAATAACCCTGATCATTGTCTTGTTTCATCTGGTGACATCAACAACATTCAATGTGTGCAGTGTTAGCTTTGCTCAGTCTGTTGATACTAGAGCCACCTTAAGTGCTCTAAAACATGTCTGACGTCTCTAAATCAAGGAGCAGTATAAAACCTTGCTCAAACTTAGATTTCAACTTACTCAATGTCTAACATTAAATTGCTTTCAGGGGTATCCACCTGAGAGAGGTGTCCGAAGAAGTCAACATGATAGCTGCACCTGCATAATGGATACTCCACTTTTTTATATGTATCTTGAACACACACACAAACAGAGGGTGTCCCAATCTGATAGTCTGATAGTATCATAGATAGTAAGCATGGAGCATTTTAATTTAGCTCAAAGACTTACAATATATTATCCGTATACTAATACAAATATTTACAATTATATGTTTTTCTTTCTTAAAATCTCCATGACTTCAAAATAGTAAATAAACAGGATGTTTATTTCCTTTAATTCCTTTTGCTAACAGTCCCCACAAATTCTCAGCATCACTATCTGAGTATTTCCTGACCTGTTCCTTTAAAATAAAAACAAATATGCCTTGAACTAAACATGTTTTATACTTACTTGTGGGACCTGCTTCCACTGGTGATAACACCAGTGTAAAAGAGAGAGAGAAGGAGATATGAAAATATAATTAATGTTAATAAAATATTAAATATGGATAAATACTGTACATGATAGTACTGTATATTCTAATGGTGTGCAGTATTATTTATTGTGAGTTAAATTGTCACATCCTATATCAAGGTAAAACATGCTGCACTCATTTTCTAAGACCCATTGATAACCATTGCAGTATGAGCTTGTCTGCAACGAGCATTCCTACTTAGGGTTCATAGACAATAGGTTTGCACCAACACAGGGAATGTCTGTTTCTGACAACCACAGTTAACAGCTACTTGTAAGGTTACAAGATATGAGCAGCAGAAATCCAGATGACCACTAGATGGGAGCAAAAAGTTGGAGTAAGACCCAAGGTATGCTGTCATAGGATGGTTGTCTAGTTTTTTTCAGCCTATTTCTTATCATCCAAGCCATCTGTATGTTTGTAGTAGGTGGAAAAATGCCAAGTGACTGTTGATGTAATTAAAAACTCATCCAGGATTGCTTGTATCATACATTGGCTGGTTTGCTTTAAGCAATGTTTACTGTACTGTTAACTTTATTGTCATTATCAGAATGGGGAATTTATTTCTGATCATGAATCTGCCTGTTCCCCAATCCCACCCTTAGTCCATTTAGCTCTTAACATTGACAAGGTTGAGAAACCCTGGTCTGTAAACTGACAATGGTGCTTTGGGATGAGAGGATTGTGTTTTACGTTGTTACGCTTTGAACCTTCCCCACATATTTTGTATTACTTACTTGTAACTATTGTAGAAGTGCCTGAAATGAGAAAAAAAAGAATAGTACATGAGTCCCTTTTAATGAAAGGATTGTGCTTTATCCTGTTAGACTTTGGACCTTTCCCACATTCCTTTTATTACTTACCTGTAGTAGAAATTGTTGTAGTGGCTGAAATGGAAAAAAAAAAGAATAGTAAGTCTTGGTTCGGTCATCTTAAGAGTTTTAGAGAAAATTTGGCAAAGTTTCCACACTGAACATCAATATGGCATTATCAACCAAATTTCTATAAACGTTTATATAAGAATTAACAACTTAAGAAGCTTACTTGGAGACATAGTAGTGGTGATAGTAGTAGTAGTGCTGGAGGTGGTTGTTGGAATAGTAGAGGGAGATATAGTTGAAGTGCATCTATCATATTTAATTTCCATGGTACCATTTAGTGTGCATATTAGGTACACACATTCATTAGTTTTGTTAACCGTCTCGTTCACTTCATACTCTTTGCCATTATAAACACAACACACTGTGTAAAAATATATTAACAAAGTTCAGACAGAAGGAATTTCACAACATGAGAGCTGAACCCCTGTTTCCTTGCTTCACATTTGCTTCACTTCAGAAGGAATGAGTTCAGAAACGAAACTCTCATAGTTTTTTAACAGGTCAGCCAGATTCTTAGGGGCTTTGATCCAAAACCTTTAAAGTCTTAAATGTCTTCACTTATATCTTTAATTACATCGAGAAGTGAACTGGTAACCAGCCCAGTGTATTTTATGCCCTGACCTTTTAGGGCCAGTTACCATCTGGGTTGCTGTATTTTGACCAACTATAGTTTCCAAAGAATTTTTTAAAGGCAAACCTACGTGAGGAGGATTATAATAATGAAATCAATGTGACAAAATTTGGGTTACATCAAAATGCTGCAGAACTATTCATAATGGTATATCATCCAAATTATTAAAAAAGGCTTCTTGCACATAGATACGACCTGAGCAATAAGTAGCAAAGCTGGATGGAGGCATGTTTTCTAAATTATATAGCCATTCCTTCAGAGAAATGTAATCCTATAGGCTGGTGAGGGATCATTATTCTTCAGAAAAAATACTTCTTCTTATCCAAATTTAATCCCAGTTTGTAACATCAAATTCTACAGCTTTCAGACATCATTTCAGGATATGAGTAGCCACACCAGGTGAGGTTGAGAATGAGATGCCCAAATGAACATCATCTACCTACAGACATCTTACTTTATAGCTCTGGATTACTTCTCCCAGCAATTTCACAAAAATGTTAACCAGTGTAGAAATCTCATGGACCTTTAGCAAACTACATAGAGCATCAATAACATTGAACAGGCTCTTTCATGTCTACATTCTGAGATTTATCTGTGAGGTTGGATCTGAATAGTCATGTCAGATAGGCAACCTATAATGAATAACAGTGCAAGCTCCTGAGAGAATCACGAGAACCAATTATTCTGCCTACCTGGATTCTTCAACAAAAATGTTAAAGTGACTTAAGCTGTTTCAGGACTAAAGTAAGTTCTGAATTTCATCTGAAATTGTCCCAGTTAATCAGTTTCCTCTAGAAACTTTAATTCTTGTGCTATAAATCATTCTGTCACCTAGCCCAAAATGGGAATTTGAGACAGCTTGGCCATTCATAGAATTCAGAATCCTAAAGTTGGAAGAGGTCATACAGTCTAACTTCCTCAGTGCTCAGTTCAGGAATTTAATTTCAAAGCATACCCAAGTGATGCTGCCTAGGCTCTATTTAAGCATCCAGTAAACAGGAGCTGACCATCTCCTTGGGTGTCTGGTGTACTGTTAAACTATTATAAGTATTATCAACCTGTCACGCTTTGAAAAGGCTTTTTCATCAAAACATGAACTACTGCTTGCAACAGGCAGGATGAAAATCCTCTGGCCATTGTTACTGTTTTGGCTAAAGTAGTTTGGCAAGGTTCAAACACACCGGTGGTTGGCTTTGATCTTTCAAGAGTTCCATCTTCATTCTCTGGTATAATAAACTAAACAGGATCTCATAATAATGGATGAGAGATAACTATTATCATCTCATTTGACACTGGAATGGTAGAATCCATATTACAAAAGACATGAGAGACATTATCTGGAAAACCTTGGCAAAATGCTCCCAAATCTGTTCTTTCAGTTGCTAGATAAGCCTCAAGAAGTTCTACACATCTTCACAAGATTCTAAACAATCAGTTTGCAAGTTGAAAAATATAATTTATAGCTGCCAGCATTGTTCGGAGTGGACCTAACAATAAGCTCTATTATGTATCTTATTGAATTCAATTTGTATATCCAATTTTAAATCATCTCAGGTCATTATCAAAAGTTCCCCTGTAACTCAAGGAACCATTATGGTGGTGGAAGTCTGCAGAGAACTGTACTAAACATTGTACTCTGAAGGATTAGAACTGTAGGATTGCTGGTATTTTTTTAAAAAATAAATAAATAAATAAATACTTGGGCCTAAATGTATAGCTATTGGGATTTCATTAATCTTACCTTAAATATACCATGTGTAGAAAAAAGTTACAAAAGAAAATTGATATTCTTCTCAATATTTGAAACTTTAAAACTGTATAGCAAACACTCCAAATCATGATTTGCTCTTTCAAGAGAAATATGAAGAAATTGCTTGGGTTTCATACAGAAAAAACATACCTTTTTCAAGTTTACACATCACATTTTCTAATGACTGGCAGTAGCTGAAAGTTTAAAAAAAAAACAGAAACAAAATATTTTAAGTTTTATTATTAAGTTCTTGTAGCCTGACTATATTCAACCTGAAATTGCTCTTGCAGGGCCTTAGATTCATAATAATAAATGTAATTTGTTCACATAATTTCACAGGACAGGAAGTTAATGCTGGCAGGAATAGATATGAAAATAGAATGGAGTCAAGTCCTCAGTAGGTGAATTCCACATATCCATGACTTCTATGAAGCCCATACTCTCGGAATCCATCCGCAAATGGAAATACCAGAACTAGCCTACTTAGTACCAAAGTAATGCCAAACTTTGTCATTTCTGATCCTTTATTTTGAGATACATGAGCAACGTTTCCCAAGCTTGGCTACTTCTAGATATGTGGAATTCAACTCCCAGCCATCTCAGCAATGGCTATGCTGGCTAGGGAATTATGGTAGTCCAAGTCAAAGTTGGGAAACACTGCAGCGTAGGGCTTGTTTTTGATTCCCACCACCTCATTTTTTTTTACCATGTGACAAAAAAATGGCAAAAACTGGATAGTTCCTTCACAATTAAGGTCCTTCACTTTGCCAGTATTTTCTCTTTAAAAGGAAAGAAGGGTGAGGAGATTGCTTCCTGAAGTTTTCTTTTTGTAGAAAAGAAAGTCTTGCATGTACATTGCTTTGTATAGCATTTGTATCATGAACAATGACATTTTAATGGGGATGATAAAGTTGAAGTCCCACATAGTGAGAAAGCAATTAAGAAATTGAAAGATACTATTCTTTAACTTTAACACAACTCTCCACATATAGAGGTCTATGGAAGACAGCTTCATGAATTGAATGACCCAAGTAGGGGAAGCCTCATTGTCTCTTCGTACTGCTACTCCCAATGTTCCTAACAATCTCTTCTAGAAAGATCAGGACCATTTAGAACAGCATACAAAGTGTTTGTGGCAGTTGGGGAGTAACGAAGGATGGGCATGACTTGCTACTATTCTTGTTCTTCTCCATGTAGGTTGGTTCCAATTCACTGGACACCAGTTCCCTTTGGTAATTAAAAGACCTTTTTCCATTACTGCTTTATCCATAGCACAGTATTCTTGCCTAATTTATTGGGTCATCCTAAGAAATAAAGGATGCATTATGGAGCTTATAAAAAAATCACACGGTGGTGATTATTTGACAATCTTGTTTTCTTCTATCAAAGAATTCATACAAATGAGTTTACTGACTTCTGGAGGAATAGCAGCTGGAAGAGAGAGTACACAATGTTGCATTCTCATCACTCCTAACTTGTCACCCTTTTCAATGTATTCTATCCAAAAAGTGCTTCCTACTTTAGAATGCTGTTCTCCTCATGCACTCAAGCACAAACCCAACAGTTTGAAACTGAATAGTTTTGGTAACAATATTTGTACAAATACTTTTTTTCAGTTCTTACTCTATTTACTTTATATTTTCACATACCAATTGTGGCACGGTTCTCGGGGTTCATAGTTGGGGATTAAATTTCCAGGTAGGTAGTAAGTATCATTAAAGTAACAACCACACTTTTTCACACATAACTTAATCTCCTCGTCGTAGATTGGATAATCTGGAGGACATCGTGGATAGCAACCTATTGCCCAGAAAGATGCATTTTGTAAAATGGCAGCTATTATCTGTCCATGCCATAGAAGCATTGCATGAAAGAGACATGCTCCAAAGACTTGATTAAAAAAACCCTTCAATTAATATATCAGAAGAAAATGCCAGTTGGCTGGATGCCATTTCTAAGGGACAGACACAGTTCTGCACTTCTTTTATATATGTTTATCCTAATATTTCCCTTGGAATAATAACTTTAAGGAATCAGGAGAAAAGGGGCAAAAAAAGAGAATCCCCTTTTCATTAAAGACTGATAGTCAAGACTTTGGTAGCTAAAGAAACACTCATGTCACGTTTTACCTCTGATAAAATTTAGGTCGACAGCTTTGGAACTGTTTTTTAAAGAGCCATTCTAGTAGATTAAGCACAGAAGTTAAATGGCCAATTAGAAAGAAAAATCATGTCCTTAGGCATTTAACAGTCTTCATTCTGATGAAGAAAAAGCTGAGATCAGACATAAGAATGTTTCCTGAACTCCAGCCCAAATGCCAGGGTGGACCTCAGTCCAAAATTAAACAAGCTGTATAGTTTTCCTACAAAAGTGGATCAGCTCACTGAATGAATTTTATTTCATGTTTGTTTAACTTTATTGGCCACCCAACCAAATAAACCAACCACATCCCCCCTCCATATTGGACTAACAAATAATCCTTGAAGAACAAAATCACCACAAATTAACACCACAAATTTACCTTCTAAGAATGGGACTGAAAAGTTGGTGTTGCCTTGATTGAGGATCTTGCAAGTTAAAAACTCACGTCCACAAGCCTCATAATGCCACTCACATGAATCTTCACTAGGATTGTAGTATTCACAAAAGATTGCTTTAAAAAGAAAGTTACTCATTAGAAAAGAAACAGAAAAAATATTTTGTTCCAATTCCTATGTAAGATGTCTCTATGTGACATCTTGTGGAACTAATGAATAATGTGACAGGTGGTATCCTATAGATATTTAGCTAAGGTATCCTATATAGGTATCCTATATTGCCTATCTTTGATGCTATGTTCTTTGGGGAATATCTAATAAAAAGTACAGGAAATTTATAAATTCTGGAAGCAGAATTGTGGCTTTAAAGGCGATTATGCAGATATAGTTCCATGCATCAATTTTTTTAATCTAAATTGAGTGGTCTGTAACATAGAAACACGGAAAACTAATAGCAGAAAATAGTCCAGTGGTCTATCAAATCTGCCTTTTGAGGTTTTGTTTGTTTGCTTTTGTTTTCTTTTTAATTAATTGTTTTATTATTATTTAATTTTATATGATTGTTATTATTTATTATTTTTTGTCAGATGATAAATATATATGTTTATCCAAACCATGTTTAACATTTGGTGGTATCTGGCTTTATGATTCCTTATCATAAAGCTAAAGTGTTCTAGCATAAAATGTCTCAAAGAATAAGCCTTATCAAAGTTAGAATTAACTAGACCTATGAAAGATTATAGTCTAATGTTTCTAGCTCATCATCTTTTGGGATATCTGGATATTGTATGCTTATCCTGGAACTTCAAATGTTTATCTGGAATGCTTACGGCATATATCTGGAGTTCTCCAGTGGATGCATGCTTCAACTTTGATGCATTCATGTGCATATGCAGCAACTGCAGTACAGAAGCATTCACAGTCCCCCCCGGTATCACAGGAACAGGCATCGTGTACACAGGCTTCATAGTATGGCTGTGGATCCACCTATTGAAAAATTGCAGAACCACAGAATTTGTTTGCTTGTATGACTGCATCTTCCTCTCAACACCAGAAGAGTTCAGCAAACTGACTAAGCAAAATGATCATTCAGTTATCCAAGAGAAGTCCACATGCAGTGGATGAATGGGGTCCCATCCTGTTCACGTTGGAAGCACCAAGGTGCTTCAGAGCCTTCAAAGTTTAATTTTGCCGAACATTTCTCTCCATTCTTAGGGCAAGTAAACTGTATTTACTAAAGTTTGCTTGTCTTATATAGCTAAACACTGCATTCTGGATTAGATGTATTTAAGCAAAGCAGTCTATGTGGCACCTAATATAGAATTACTTGATCCATAATTCCTGCACTAATAGACTGGAATAAAACTAAGCATCATAATTTTCCTTTCCTTAAATATCATAGTTCAATAATGGTTACCGTAATGCAATTAAAAATGAATGTTTAAAATGACAATATATTAGAAAATATATATCTGGAGTGTCATTACATCTCTAAATTTGTATTTTGTGGAAATGTTCAGATACACACTTAAATATGCATTTAAATGACTTTTTTTTAAAAAAAAATATTGCAAATTAATGTGGAAGCATGAAGGAAAAGATTCAGAAACCAACGTTTCCAAAATTGATATACAGCAGCTATTGTTCAGACATACAGCAACACCTATGGTCAAAGTCTGAGGCTCCCCTATGACAGTGGTGTATTTTCTTTTAAAGACCACTGCCTCAAAGCATTCCTTAATACAATGTTTTTCAACATTGGCAATTTTACAATGTGTGGACTTCAATACCCAGAATTCCTTGGTTAGCGTTCTGGGGATTCTGGGAGTTGAAGTCCACACATCTTAAAGTTGCCAAGGTTGAAAACCAATGCCATAATAACTCAAAACCAAACCAAACCAAAACTACTAACCTTGTGATGACATTTTTTAAAAACTTCACTTTTGATGAGGCTGCACTCTTTCTCTGCCCAAGTTTTCCGATGAGGCTTTACATCACAGGGCTCAATGACTCCCCCTACATCAGGACAAGCTGGATCCTTTTTCCAAGAATTTCCAAATGTCAAGGCACTGACCGTGTCTTGAGCCATACTCCTTGTTGTAAAGTCATTGCCGGCTTTGCCATCAAAGTTACCACACAAACCACAGACTTTCCCCTACAAGTAAGAAAAGCACTCCATCAAAGCTAAAAGAAATTTGAATAATTTACTGACCTAGTTCATATTTCTACCATTACCAGTTATGAAAATATAGGTAATACTTGACTTACAGCCATTCATTTAGTGCAGGGGTCTTCAAACTTGGCAACTTTAAGACTTGTGGACTTCAATTCCCAGAATTCCTCAGCCAGCCCTGACTGGCTGAGGATTTCTGGGAGTTGAAGTCTACAAGTCTTAAAGTTGCCAGGTTTGAAGACCCCTGATTTAGTGGCTGTTCAAAGTCTCCACAGCACTGAAAAAAGTGACGTGACTGTTTTTCACATTTTCAATGGTTGCAGCATTTCCTCATGGTCATGTGATCAAAATTTGGACATTTGGCAGCTGGCACGTATTTATGATGGTCGCAGTGTCCCAGGGTTATGGTACCTTTGGCGACCTTCTGACAAGCAAATTGGGAAGTCAGGTTCACTTTATAACCATGTTACTATCTTAACAATTACAGTGATTTGCTTAAAAACTGTGGCAAGAAAGATTGTAAAGTCGGGCAAAAATCATTTAACAACTGTCTTGCTTAGCAGAGGAAATTTTGGGCTCAGTTGTGATCCTAAGTCTAGACCAGGGGTAGGCAACCTTGGCTCTTTTATGACTCGTGGACTTCAACTCCCAGAATTCCTAGGAATTCTGGGAGGTGAAGTCCACGAGTCATAAAAGAGCCAAGGTTGCCTACCCCTGGTCTAGAATTACCTGTATTGGGTCTAGAGTTCCAGAATAAAAGAACAAAGCTAATATTTAAGGAATATTTAAGGAAACTGGGACACAGTCTTCTCCTTCCTTTGCATACATTTTTCCAAATGACTGAGTTTTGTATACCTACTGTAACTTTCCATATACAAAAAGAAAGCAAACATAAGTGTGTGAAGAGGGAAAGAATTGGTTTGTTTATTTTTGAAATTAAACTAGATTCAATTTAGAAAATTCATTGTATTCCACGTTATAGTTATTTAAAATAATAATTACCAAGTAAACAGCAATATCTTCACACCACACACTAAAATAATTACAAGCACGTATGTATCACTAGCATGGGAAAAGAGTTTAAATGAAAATCATTAAGTAAAACTGCATTAAGCATTTTAGATGTTTGCCTTGGGCTGGATGCATTAAAAGTTTTGTTCTATTTTCCCAAGGTTTGCTTAGCTAATATTTTCCTCTCCAGGAAAATATTTGTTCACTCCTCCCATTTATTCTATATATTGAAATCCTATCTAAACATTATTCAACAAGTTCTCTCTGATGGGTTCAATAACTTGATGTGCATGTTGTATTAATCAACATTTATCATGAAATAATGGTGGCATCCATTGCAAAGTCATAATATACATAGAGATAGATAGTATGTATTAAGACATAAACGCTATTAGAAAATATTTTTAATATATTCATCCATTAGTAACATTAAAAATGTTATGTGGAAAGTGTTCTAGAAGCACTGACTTTATGATAGGGCAACAGCTTGATGAAAATTGTTGTCTTCTTATCCCAGATGACCATCATTCCATTGCTGGCTTCAATTACCATATACAGCCCAACTGTTCCATGAATCCAATATGTTACAGAGCTGTTGTTAGTCCACTCAATTTTTTCAATGTGTTTTTCTTGCAGCTTTAGCTCTGTGGTCTAAAAGGCAGAAATACAATGGAGGTTATGTGATGAAAAGAGTAGCTGTAATTTTAAACAGTCCCTTCTACTTAGTACACACAACAAACAGTGGATTAACACGGTGGATTAACACATTTAATATGGTTTTTTTTTTAGGTTTATGCTTTTGGGAATGCAATCCTTTTCAGCCCATGGGTGAGGTAGAATCAAAAAGAGAGGACCATTCTCTAAAAAGCAGTCATCAGAATAATCCTTCCTATATCGGAACAAATGTGCTATATTAGACAAAAGCTTATTGATTATAAAAATAATAATAGCGGAATAAAAAACTTAGATCTGAATTTGTTGTAATGCTTTGTTGTTGTTTTTTAATTAATAACATAACATGATCAATCCTCAACTTTCAACTGAGTGGTCAATTTAGCAGATTTAAATTATGTGGCACGTTACATAATGTCAGTCTTGAAAAAAATACAATTGAGTCCAATTTGTTCAAGACTTCAAAGCATTCTTTTGATTTCTTTGGATAGGAAAGATGGCTTTCAACCAATCCTTCTCAGGCATATTTTTTTCTGTGCTCGATACATACCCCTAGAAACAATTTAATGGCCTTGGTGCAGGTAACGCCTGTCGTTCCACAGAGAACATTCTCTGTGATCACACTAAACTTTCCTTGCTGGTTGCCACAGTAATCCTAGTGGACATAGAAAAGAAAGATTATCAAGATTAAGTGAAATAAAAGAAAATAATGTTTCACATTTCTCCCACGGACCCACTCTGGGCAGTGTTAATCATTCCTTTATGTTTATGAGAACATTCATGCCTCAGACCACTTACTAACCAACTCCCTCACACACACACACACACACACACACACACACACACACACCTCCAAAATTTAATGAGCTAGTTTTTAAAAGTAGCATGTTTTGCTGAAAATTATTGAATGCACCTTAATATGATCTAGACCAAGGTCATAATATAATGTCATAATGTGGTCATAGTCATGGGCATGAATGAGGCAAGGTAATTGATGAACCATTCAAATAAGGTTCATAACAAGGAATTGTAACTCAGAAAACACTTTATTGTTGACATAACATTTGAAATTGTCAGAGGATAAAATCAATAAACATGAAGGTTGTAAAATAAAACCCCAAACATTCATTGCAATGGAACTAGTCCATCTTTTAGAACACCAAGACTACAGTGCCAATTGTCCAAAATATTTTGTGATTCAGTTGAAACAACTGAATAGATTTGAGTCAAATTATTTTAATTGCAATTTAGTTTCATTTAAATGTAATGACATTCCTATCAGGAAGTCAAGTGGACATAACATTAAAGAAGTTACCCTGTTAGGATCAGGATTTGGCAGGACTAGACGAATTAAGCCAGCCTATCTTACCCATTAGGAATTTCTGTTTTAAAAAGTGAGGTTGGCAAAGTCCCTTTTCTTTTGCAAGTGCATTGAGGAAGGGTGCCTGTTACCAGTAAAGATATCGTCAACACTGAAGGAAATAAATTTCAAAATCATCCAAAGAGTTGCTAAATTGTTAATATTTTAATCCAATTTCATGGCGTTCAATACAAGCCAGACTTTTTGAAGTTTGGTAAAATAATTATGTGCAAAAAAAAAAAGACATCATCTTAAGCAATGACTTAGTTGCCTGCTGGGTAAGAAGATTCCATGGAATGAAATTCTGATGGATGTTCGTGGAATAAAATTGACAGTCAAATACTGTATAATTTGGATGACTGGAAAACTTGGTAGTAGTAACTGAATATTACCTGAGAAGCCACGTATTCGCAGTGACCAACAAAGTCATAGAATTTTCCATCAAAGGTGATGTAATGGCCACTGCCATAAATGGTACATGTCCCATGACACACTATGTTGGTGCATCTCCAGTTTCCTTTTTGGCAGGTACTAGAGAGTATTAAATAGAGAGAGGGAGGAAGGGAGAGAGATTCTAAGATCAGAGCTGAGTATCAATGTAATGCTTTAAAAGTGCAAAGCAAAATATGTGCTTTGTGTAATAAGAAATGATTATCATCTTCTATTTCTACTTTGTACATAGCATATCCTACCATGTGTTGCAGTCAACGTTTATTTTTTCTCCATTGGGATAATACACCTGGTTATGAATACATGGGCAGTCATCTTCTACTACACATCCCCCTTGGCCGTCATCAATCAAGCCCTCAGGGCAAAAACATCCTGAGATACATTCGGTCTGGAACTATGGGAAACAAGGATAATACCCACATGACTATTCAATAACATCCTTAATGTGATCTAGCCAATTAAAATTTGCGTGCCTTGTTTTTGTTCATATATTTTTGGAAAGACAAATCACACACAAGTGCATTATTTAAAGTGCACCGCCAACATGGAATCAGTATGGGCTAAGATTAGATTTGGAGTTGTGTCTCAGAATCTGTCAAATATTTGAAATATGCTTGGGAAGAAATTGCTTTCCCATTTCTACAGGGACATATTCATCCCCATGCAAAAGAAAATGGAAGAATTCTATACAGTATATGTTTGGTAGGATGCTTTTAAATATGAAATGGCCAGTGACTTTACTTCTTGTATCAAAATGTTAACAATCAGAATGCTATGTTGGCACTTTAAGCAGTGGCTTGGTTCATCTCAGTATTCTCTCAGTGGAATTCACTAAAGATAATGACTTCCTAGCATAAATCACTATCAAAATTACATCACTTTTTGAATACAGGCGTTAAAAAAGCCAGAACAGAAGAAAGACATACGTGATCGGTACCCAGTGTTTGACAGCTAAGTTGTATTGGAGTTTGGGAAGACCAAGATTCAAAGTTGGTGCAATCAAAATATGTCTTATTGGATGAACATTCTGCAAAGGAAATAAAGAACATTGAAAAAAAATCTCTTGAATTTAGTTTCATAGTAATAGATAAATGAAAACTCAAAAAAAAAACAAAAACCCTAAGGAATCCAGAATGGTTTGCTTCTTTAATGTATCACATTGCAAATTGAATGCCATATACATAGAAAATGCTCTTATCAAAATTCTTGTATCACTTTAAGATAAAATTGCCCTGTGATGCCTGAATAAACTATCCCATAGGAAACAAACCAACACCATGAATTGAAGGAGCCTGACTCCAGTTTGGAACATTAGAATAATGATGGTAGTGCAGAACTCGCAGGAATTTTTTTCCCTCCTTTATAGGGAAAGCTATAATCTAGTTAGATAACTTGGGTATTGTCGGAACAGATAGTAGACAAATCATTCTGAGAGCAGATTATTCAATTCATTTGGAAATGCTCTATGTCCCTTTGAAGAAAGTATGTTTCAGACTTACAGATGGAAATCTTTATTATTATACTAATACAGACCAATAGAGTCTTGGCTCATAACACACCAGGTATAACTATGGTTGAAAAGAAGAAAGTGTGGACAATTGATGTGGCAATACCAGAGGGATAGTAGAATAGAAGACAAAGTATTGGAGAAGATCACAAAGTATTAAGATCTGACATTCAAAATTGAAAGATTATGGCATAAATCAGTCATTGTGGTTCCAATGGTTATCAACACACTAGGTGCCATACCAAAACATCTTGGATGGCAACTAAAAAAACCTGTGCATTGATAAAATTTCCTTCTGTCAATTACAAAAGACCATATTGCTTGGATCCACACATATATTATCCCAATACATCACAGCATCCTCTGTTCTTGGGAAGAACCTAAAGTGTATGAAGGCCAACACCAGCTAAAGAACTGAAAGCTGTGACTTCATATGATTGTGAATAGATAATAATCATAATCATAATCACAATAAAGCTAATATGTTTAGGAGGAAGTGGCTTTATGGTAAAGCCATGTCAAAAGAAAATTTCCAAAACAATGAGTAATTTAACACATAACTCAAATTGAGAAAATGTATGTATTATTAAAATATGAAGGTTGATACCTACCATGAGGGCGTTTATCCACTATTACACACTGAAATCCTCCATTTTTGCAAACACTAGGAATAGCAAAAAAAAAATAGGTAAATAAATAAAATTATAAAAACAGTAGCAATAAGAATTTTGCAGCAAATGAATTCCAATTCATATACTTTTAATGAAAGTGTATTTTATTACTATGATTTCTTGAATCCCTGAATGGTATACTACTAATACACAATACAAGCAGCCAAACTACAAGTGTCAGTGATTTGATAAGGACCGCCACATGCTTTCATATATTTATGATAATGTATCCTAAATGTTTTAAATGCGCAACATTCCTGCCAACATTCCTTCATTTTAACAGATCAACCATTCAAAATAAATGGTGGATAAATTAATTAATTAATTAATTAATTAATTAATTAATATTAATTATGGCATAAATCAATCATTGTGGTTCCAGTGGTTATCAACACACTAGGTGCCATAACTAATTATATTAATTAATATAATGAGTACTGTACCTATGGTGCTACCCTTTAAAGTTATCTCAAGAATTCAAGCATTCTGAACCTTGAATTCTATCTCCTCTTCTCTAGAAGCATATTCCACTGAAATACTATAGTAAAGGACATACTTTTAAATGGACATTTCATATATATATATAAGGTTGCACTCTCAATATATATGTGTTTCATCACTGTCCTTAATGAAGGATTTCTAAAGCACTGCAAAGTGTAGTGATTCTCAGCATGTATTATATACAGTAATTAGTTCTATCTTTTGACGATTTGAAGAAAGAACATCTTACTGAACTGTACCAAATGATTGATTCAGTTCCCTGGAATATGCTGCTGAATTCTCCATCCAGGTTTAATCTGCAAATGTAATTCAGCAACTTAAAGTTCTCTTGTGCTGAATGCCCATCTTCTCATCAAACTGGAACAGAGGAATCAGTCTTCACAACGTACCAGCGCTTGTCGTCCTTCATGATACTATCTCCAGGTTGCACATATAAGCCTTTATAATAACAGGAGCAGAGAGCCATAGGCACGCAGATGCCTTTCTCATTCACGTAGCTATTGTCAGGGCAGCCACAGCCATCAACTGGAGTGAAACCTTCCAAGCAGTACTTATTTCCCTCAGAAAGAGAACGGCAGGACTGTTGGCACATGGTTAGATTGTAGCGGAAAACCTGGTTGGCTGGGCAAGAATTTACTTCTTTGTCTAAATTTAAGGGAGAAAACAATACATTCATAAATAAGTATCCAAGGTCCATCGGATATGGCTTCTGCATTCTTTTAGGCTAGTTTTCCATCTACCAGTGTTTCTGAAGCAACAGTTAAGGCTAATTGCATCGTTATTGTAAGCCATTCAGAATCACTTGGTAGAGTAAGGCAGCTATAGAAATTGAATAAATAAATAGATAAATAGATAAATAAAATACTACAAATAAAAGCATTACATGAACATATAAAGACAGGGAATGTTTAAAAATGGATTCTGTGATCTAAAGCTTTATGGTCCAGTTCTTCTGAATGTGTTAGGCATAATCCCATGAACTTCCCTGTTGCTACAAATAGTATATCTTAGTATTTTTCCCCTCAAATCCAATTTATCCAGATATACCATATTTCAGGACTAGATTAAGGCCAACTGACACCCTAAACACAGTCCCACAGTGTTGCCCCTTGCCCTTTCCATTGCTTAACCAAACAAATCATTAAGATTCAATAAATGCTGAAAATTAAAATCAAGTATGGCAATGGAAGAGTTAAAGGCGTGATACCTAGGGGAAGAAATTATGTGGGCTTCCCTTGGAGCCCTAAGCACATGCTTATTTCACTTAATGGTTAACCCAGGGCTGCCCTGTTTTGATAAAAAAAACAACAACACAAGACTGATGCTGGTATCAAGGGATTAAGAAAAAACCCCAAACATGTTTGTCATTCACAGTCAGAATGAAATTGGAGTTACTTACTGCAGATTACATTTCTCCAACCCCACAACATGACTCCTTTGAAAGCACAGGCTCTTGCATAAGATGACAGGGCAGCACACAAACATTCTTCATTGGAGTTACAATTGCAGGTATCATACTTGCAACGCTGAAACAAATAGTAATCAGGTGATAGTCAGCCTTGGTTAATGAGAAGAGTTAATGGATGAAGAACTGGCACTTGAGAATAGCTATGGGTAGAATGTAGCACTCTATTCCCACAACTGCAGTGGAAGTGCAGTGACACAATAAGAGACTCACATTAGGAATGGTACAAATTGTGATGAAAGAATAATACAGAGTGAGAAACTCATATTAGGATTGACCTGTTTTCCCACTCACTCTGTTGCCCTCCATCTGAACTCAGACTCCAGCTCCCAAAATGCCTAACTAAAGGCACAACTAGAACGATGTTTCTTAACCTTGGTAGCTTTAAGATTGGTAGATGTCAACTTCCAGATTCCTAGGAGCTGAAATACACCAATTGTAAAGGTGCTAAGACTGAGAAACACTGATCTAGAGAGTTTACATAAGAGAGGTCTGGCCTACATGAATTATTCCTTTTCCCCTTCTTTCAAAATCTAAGCTCTACCAAAGTAGTTCTGCCCATTTTCTTTCAAATACTGGAATGTATTACTCCCATTTTTTAAAGTGTGTTTTTAAAAGCTGAAAATAGACTGTGTTGCAGCTCCCGGGGCAACCCACCAAAAGGAAAGCTACTGCCATGGCTAAAGATTAGAAATAGACTGCAGTGCTATATTGGAGCTCAAATTCATGCATAAGCACTAAAAACAAACCCATTGCCATTTGAGTATGCCCGAAGCCAAGATCTCAAAACAAAAATGCTTAGTGAACCACCTAAAAAGCCTCAGGTTTTAGGTGGTTTAAATTAATTCTAAAATATTGGATAATCAGCAAGATGTCAAAATTCATACCTTATAATAATCTGTTGGATCAATCACTGAATGACATCTGGCAAAGGAACTTGTTTCACTTTTCAATAAAGAGCACCAGAATTCAGCGTATTTTTCTGTACCAGAGAGAGCGATGACACTTGGTTACCAGCTATTTAATGCTTTTCTATTTCTCATGTGATGTTGATGGCAGCATTCTAGTGTTCAGATTGTTTTGATCACCACACAGTAAAGCAAAGCAAACTAGGCACCTTAAGCATTACTTACATAGCTCCTATATTGAAGCAACTGTGCAACTCTATGCAATGGAATGCATAAAACAATGGATATTGCTGGATAGCAGATCATCAGAGGACTAAACCGCCTCTGTAGGCTTATCTCCTAGTCTTTAATTGTTTGGAAGTAGAAACCATCGTCAGAAGAAAAGCATATTCTCTAAGAAGCATTAAGCCAAGCTGGCATCCATTTTCATAACAGTAATTGGCAAAATGGAAATTTTCTCTATTTTCAGCAGCATGATTTTTTTTTCCTGAGTCTTCTAAAAAGAGAGATTGAAAGCTGCTGCTAATATTCAATTGAAAGCCTTTGGGTTAGCACAGATATATGCAATACATGCAGGACTACCACTTGCAATTTAGGACCAGACTTGGAGATAGCAATTAACTATCTTGATGCTAGTGGATTTGGGAATGTATCGGTAAAAGCCACTCATTACTTACCATTCTCAAGACTCAGAGAGCAAGGGTGTTCCAGCTTATCTTCCATATCACTACAGCTAGCCTGTGCTTTCCAGGAGTTGGCAAAGGAAGCTCCTGTTGCTTCAACCACTCCACCTGATGTTTTGAAATCATCACCTTCTATTCCATTGTAATCTCCACAAAGTCCTGTTGATAAAAACAGTAGCAACTAAATGTGCTTTACTTGACTGAAACTTGTTGTTCTTATAAGGTCTTCTAATTATTAGGTTCCCATTACATCAAACAGTAATTCCAAACCAACATGAACATCATTAGGTAATATTAACATTTTGATTTGCTTTACATCAATTCTTACTTATGTCAGTGCTCCTGATTGTATTATATCAAGAATGTTATCTTCTGAAGTGACCCTTTTTAGTCAGAATTATAAATAAAGGAATAGGAGAGTCAGGGTGGCAGAGAAAAATGTATCTAACATGGAATTTTTTAGGCCTCTTAATGTTAGCATTTCGAATCAGCACTATTAAAATTCCAAAGTAGGATGAGGGTGGAGGTTTGTCCTCTGACCTTGTGGGTTGGTTTCTGAACCAACTCAGTAACATCTTCAAATGTTACCAAATTTGTTAATGAAATGTTCAGAAACCAACCCACAAGCTCGGAGAACGAATCTCCACTCTCATCCTACACCCAAGCTACAGATATTTGCCACTATCACAAATTCCAAAGTAGCTTCGTTTATATATGGAAACAGATTATTGTGAGATTTTTTTTTTTTCAGATAAAGAGAAATTAAACATCAAACTGAACGACATACTTAATAACAAAAAATCCTAAAGATTGGGATACGCATTGTAAGGTGGAAAAGTCTCAAAATAATTTAATAGCTTGGCTGATATTCCACTTTACTATTCAAAAGTTGGATAGAAGAAATTCATTCATGATCTTTACATTTATTCTAATGGTAGATAAAAGTTCGACTTGCCATGGATAGTTCCCTTGATGGACTCCTCCACAATGAGAAACAGTTGCATCACTGGAGACAGCTGGATCTGCAGCTTTAGCCCATATATTGTGTGCACAATAGTATAGAACGATGATGGCTGGTAAACTGAGAAACTACCTGGAAAAACAAAGGGAAAGTCTAACCATCTTCTGTCAATTATATTCAATTGGTCCTCTATCTTTAATGTGAAGGAGAAAAAATAATAATAGTCAACTTAAGTGTCTTTCTCCAGCAGAGTAAGAATAGTTAACTAGTATATTGATGTTATTTCTTATGGGGAAGTAGATGGGAAAATGTAATGAAAAATGAAAGAATCTTGAATTATAAGTCATTATTAAGCACGTTACTCTCAAGGATAAGTACCTACTGAATTTATCAGGAAATACATCTCAACCTCCCTTTTCAATGTCTTTTTTATTGCATTCTATTTGATGGTATCCCATGTGTTAGTGATCATTTTGTTCTTAACTTGTTTAATATCTTAAGGCCCAAACAGAATGATGTCTAGACTAATCTAGGCAATGCTGGGGTATGTAGAATCAATGGCTCCCTTCTTTACCTGTTCTGTATGGCAAATGAATCTCCATTTCATTCTGTAATATAGTACCATCTGATTTGAAAACTACAACCTGTGTGAGAGAAAATGCAGCTGGTTATGTCAGTACAACTTTGTAAGATCCTTAAAACTGAACATGATCTTAAATTAACATGGATAATCTGTGTAGTGTTGAAGGGAAATCATTCTTCTGTATTTAGAACCATAGAAATGGAACAATAGCATTCTTCAGATAGATTACAGATATCCAATCCAATGGATTAGAAGAACTTGAGAAATAGTTTAATCAGCATTGTAAGACCTGAGCAACAGAACACCTGACCCTGAGCAAATATATTCATTCTTAGATCAGAAGGCAATTTTTGCAAGTTCAGTCTCTGAGGCAAAAGTAGCATATTTTTAAAGTACGTGAATGATATACAGTAAAGCAGAATTTGTCTGAGAGCTGATAGTTCTGGTTGGTTATATGCCAATTTACATTCAAATTTCTAGACTTGTTATATTAGAATGACATAAGTGGTGTTGGCTTAGTAGTAAATGAATGGCATGGTGGCCTAGTGGTGAAACTGCTTGCTTCCCACTAAAAAGGTTGAGAGTTCAATCCTAGGTAGCAGCAGTTTTTATTCTCCTAGAGCACAAAGAAAAATATCTGCTGTGAACTCCATGTAGGCATCAGGAAGGGCATCCGGCCAGTAAACACTCAGCTCAATCCAGTTGCCCCAATTCTATCCCAAATTAACGAATTACAACACTCAGCTCAATCCAGTCGCCCCAATTCTATACCAAATTAATGAATTACAGGAAGGTAAAAAGAGAGTTTTATTATATTAGAATGACATCAAAAGCTCTATATTTTATCAATAACATCACACATTATTGTCAGTTTCTTTATGCCATATCCAATTAACTTGTGAAAGAAAACAGGTAAAATCTCACATTTAAATAAATTGATTTGGATCACTATATTTCATTTTGACAATTGGCAGCTATATTTATGCCTTCTTCTTCTGTGTTTTCAGTGAAGGAGCAATAAAACATGTTCTGTGCAATTTCTTTTCCTGGCTGGCCAGAATGTTTTGTGTTTTTTACAGGCTTCCTCCAGGGAAAGGTTTTCCAACCATAGCAAATTCCTGAAGTGTCACCTTCAGTACCCAGATTTCCCCAGCTAAATAGTTGTTGCTAAGAATTCTGGGAGTTGAAGTCCATGCCTCTGAAAGTTGCAAAGATCAGGAAACCCTGTCTAGGGCAAGAAAGGGGAACTTGTAATGCTCTAGATTACCTTTTACCAACATTTATGAACTCCCAATAGTGGCTATCCACTGCACAGCCAATTGAAAAGGACACGGTAGTCCAAAACCTGTAGAAGGAATTTGGTTGCCATCCCCCACTGAAGAGTTAACAGTATATATTACTTAGACATGCAATGAAATAAAAAAAAATATAATGGATCAAGAAGAAAGTTGTTTTTAATATTATAAACTGCCCAGAATTACCTTGTGGTAAGATGGGTGGGCAATAAATTAATAAAATTAAAATACTTTTTTGAAAATAATTCTCAGTGTACTATTTAATGTTAAAATTTTGTTGGGCAATTATAATGTTAATACATATTATGAATGCATAGCATATTATCAATGTAAATAACAGCAAAATAAATGTAAGCCAAACACAATTGTGATATTAGAATAGAGTAGAGTAGAGTAGAGTAGAGTAGAGTAGAGTAGAGTAGAGTAGAATAGAATAGAATAGAATAGAATAGAATAGAATAGAATAGAATAGAGCTGGAAGGGACCTTGGAGGTCTTCTAGTCCAGCCCCCTGCTCAGGCAGGAGAACCTATAGCATTTCAGACAACTGACTGTCTAGTCTCTTCTTAAAAATCTCCAGTGATGGAGCGCTCATGATTTCTGGAGGCAAACTGTTCCACTGGTTAATTGTCCTCACTGTTAGGAAGTTTCTCCTTAATTCCAGGTTGCTTCTCTCTCTGGTCAGTTTCCAACCATTGTTTCTTGTCTTGCCCTCTGGTGCTTTGAAGAATAATTTGACCCCCTCATCTTTGTGGCAGCCCCTCAAATACTGGAATATTGCTATCATATCGCCTCTGTTTCTTCTTTTCTTTAGACTAGCCAAACCCAAGTCCTGCAGCCTTTCTTCATATGTTTTAGTCTCCAGGCCTTTGATCATTTTAGTTGCTCTTCTCTGAACTTTTTCCAAGGTCTCAACATCTTTTTTGTAGTATGGTGATCAAAACTGGTTGCAGTATTCCAGATGTAGTCTTACTAGGATTTTATAAAGTGGTACTAATACTTCACATGATCTTGATTCTATGCATCTGTTTATACAACCCAGGATTGTATTAGCTTTTTTGGCTGCTGCTGCACACTGATGGCTCGTATTCCAGTGTTCATCCACTAGGACTCCCAAGGTCCCTCTCGCAGTTACTGTTTTTGAGCCAGGTCTCACCTAAACCTTTGATTTTTCCTGCCTAAATGTAAAAGTTTGCTTTTCTCCACATTAAAACTCATTTTGTTGGATAGGGCCCATTGTTCAAATTTGTCAAGATCTTTTTGGATCCTGAGCTTGTCTTCTGGGGTGTTGGCTACTCTTGTTAGTTTGGTGTCATCTGAAAATTTGATGAGTTCCCCTTCAATTCCCTCATTTAAGTGATTTATAAAGATATTGAAGAGTACTGGGCCTAAGACGGTGCCTTGTGGTACCCCACTGCTTACTTCTCTCCATGTAGATGTAGTACCATTGAGGACTACTCGCTGAGTACGATTTGTCAGCCACTTACATATCCATCTGATGGTGTTGTTCTCTATCCGACTTTTTTATATATAATCAGCAATAACAATCATAAATGTGAATACTTATTACAATTTCTATTTGTAATTTCTAATAAAAGTATAACATCATCTGCTTTTTTTAGGCTGACAATGAGAAACAGATATCAAATGAAATAATTATACCATCATCATTTTCATTAAACTTACATTCTTCCTCTGGTCTGTTAGTAGCACTACTGACTTTAGGCATGTCTGCTTGTCTGAAGAACTGCATGGACCCAATTCTCCCAAAAGGACATGTGTGTCATTTTTAGTGGTCTGCACATATGGAAGAACAAATACAATTAATGTGGTCAGTCATTTCCTCTGTATACTAAACTGTTTTCCAAGACAAGTAAAATTATCTATTAAATAAAAAGTGCTATCATCTCTCTCTCTCTCTCTCTCTCTCTCTCTCTCTCTCTCTCTCTCTCATCTATCATCTATCATCATTATCTATCTATTGCTATTGGAGACCCAGCTGCCCCAAATCACATTCAATGTCCCATTCATAGCAATTTTTTTAGCCTTATCCTAAAATTTCACTGCACTTTATAAGGTGGTATAAAGGACTTGTTTTCCCAATGGGGAACATGTGCTATGTGTTGGTACTTCTCCCTACCTTAAAGTAGCAGCAGTCATCAAAGCTACACAGCACTGGACGGTATGCCCTACATCAGTGATGGCGAACCTTTTAGAGACTGAGTGCCCAAACTGCAACCCAAAACCCACTTATGTATCATTGGGTGCCAGGTGGCCGTGGCCCATTGAGGTGTGTGGCCAATTGGGTGGGCATGGCACATTGTGTGGGCGTGGCTTCGGTGGTAATGGTAGACTGGGTGGGACTAAAAAGTTAAATCAATCAATTCCAACTTTGTGAAATCTTTTTTTTTCCCACGAGAAGTTGAAATTGATTGATTGATTGAAACTTTTTTTTTTGCACACGGTGGCAGAGGCCTAAAGCAAAAAGGTTTTATAAAAGCCAGCTGAAGGTCTAGGACTGGGGTGACGGTGCGCGTGCCCACAAAGAGGCCTCTGCGTGCCACCTGTGGCACGCGTGCCATAGGTTCGCCACCACAGCCCTACAGTACAGTCAGCAGATGTCAGACTGCCTGTAATGTCTAGTGCTGAATTCTCTGAGGCTGAGAAAATTCTGCAGTGCCAGTCCAAAAAAAATGTCTAGTATCAGATGTGCAACAAGAAGGTGACAAATGGAGCAAACTTGCCAATGCATAGAATATCCCTGTAGTCATAGTTCTGCAGATATTCTAGCAGACAGAACTAATAATAATATTGAGTTGCCCAATACATAGGTGAACTGACTGTGTATGAATCCCAAGAAAAGAAAGGAAATACATTGAACTTTGGCTATCCATATCATAACCAGGGCATAACACAATTTAGAAATGCATAGTGAATTTTATCTTTTTGATCAACAGACCTGATCCACATCACCTGGGTTTCTCTGGAAAGTAGAATTAGTTGTCAATCAACTATCACACTTCTTAAATATTTCAGTTCAGTTCTTGGTCCCAGATGTATCAAAATATAGAATATGGAAATGCATACTTTGAGAGAAACTACATACTGACATGCTATTTCTGAATATATGTAGAACATTTGTGTTTGAATACGATTAAAACCCTAATTTTGTCTTGATCAAAAAAATATTAATGCAGAAATGGAACATATTGGGCACGGACTAGAAATCTATGTATTTTGTCATTAAAAAAAGAAAACTGTCCCTTTCTAAATGTATTTGTTTTTATAGCTATGGGAGAGGTGGATGAATTACGTCATTTGCTATATACATCCAAAGGATTCTATAATCATTAAACCCATTTAAATACCACTGAAAAGTTATGTTAATTTTGAATGATCATTAATAATTCTATAGATTTCTTCAGTTGGCCTTTGGAGTTGTGCCAAATATCTTTTGATGATTGCTTTATATTGTTTTATAGCCGTGATTTAATTTTTAAATGCTTCTGTTTGTTTTGTATTTTATTCCAGTTATTCCAATTCTATAAATCACTTGGTTATTTCTGTACTAAAATATCGTTGCAGTGACTGTTAATGATATCCAAGATTTCTTTTCTAGCTGAAGAAAACACAGCAAGTTTATTGCAGATGTTCTATGTTTTTGAGATAAAAGGCTGGGAGGGTTGCCATTTCTGCAGAATGAGCATTCATAATTAACATAACCTTTTCAGTGGTATTTAAATAGGTTTAATGATTATAAGGTCCTTTGGATGTCTGTAGCCCATGATGTAATTCATCCACTTCTCCCGTAGCTATCAAAACAAGCATATTTGCAATGTTCAAAATACCAGGTATACCTCCAAAGAGCAGTATTTCATACACATACCTTGGTCAACACATAGTAGCAGTCTCCGTGGAAGGTATATTTCTTCCCATCAAAAGTGGTTATGTGGGATCCACCCTCCAAAGCACATGTACTTGGACAGGGTAACTCCTGGCATATCCATCTCCCTGACTGACAAGTGCTGCAAATAGACAAACGGAGTATACAAACTAAGAGTTTGCACTGCAAATACATGCATTTAGAATATCCCACTGAAGGTGCCTTTTGGAAGTATGTCTGTTTGTATTTTCCCTACAAAATAACCAAACCTGTTTCTCCCCCCCCCTTTTTTTTTTTAATAGACTGAATAAGCCATTAAAGCTTGGATGATGTCTTTCCAGTTACAAATTAAATTACTTAGAGGCAATATTGTCAGCTGCAATAAATCAGGAAGCAAGGTGGTTCAAATGAATACAGGTTATTGCATGCTAACAGTCTCTACAAGATTCTGAACTACTAACAGTCAAAGCAAATTGGTGGTAGATATAAATCAATGGACTTATATCTCTTGTGGGGTGAAGGGACTCAACACTAATGATGCATTTGACCCCTCCTCCCTCGGGCTCAGCCTGGTCATCTCCTACAAATACATTCACTTTTCTTTGGGTTATTTGCTGATCCTGGGCATTTTTTATCTTTTTCAATACCACACAAATGCAAAATTTCCTAATTTGACTTGGCATGTTTACTAAATATAAAATAATACTATGATATTGGAATAAAAGCAGGGGGGGTCATTGGTAATGCAAGGAAGTTATTTTGATGACATTCCCATTACTTGTTGTTTGATGTTGTTGTTATTATTTCAACAAACATCACTCTCAGGGTGTTTCTGTACTAGTAATATAAAGTGTCTAAATAGTATCACTCTGTCGTTATTGACATGATAGAAACCCTGTCCTCATTTTGACATAACAATGAATGGATTACTCTAAAAAATTACTATAAGTGCTAATAATGAGCTGTTGGCATTCTTACCACTTTTCACATTCATTGGTAATTTTCTGACCAGGGGAGAATATTTTTCCATGAAGTTTACAGTGGCATTGGCTTGTTAACACACAACCATTCCCTGTGACATCATCATATACTGTGCCTGCAAAAGTGAAAAAAAAGCATTAATAGTGCATGACAACTAAAGCTGCTACTAAAGTTCTAAACTGGAAATTCCATTAAATTATCTATACTAAGCACTATACTGTACACATTATCTATACTAGGACAATTTTCTAGCTAATTACTACATTTAGTTGAAGAATACAGAGTATGAGTGATATATCCTTGGCAGAAGAGAACAAGCTTTGTAAGGATGTTTGTAGAATCTTCTTAGCCTAATTTCATGAGATCCTAATTTCAGACATTTTCTGCAAACACTCAGTTCAGGACATGTTCAAGAACAAATTGAAAAAGAAAAAGAAAAAAGAAAAGAGGTTCCAAAGAGAAAAGAGGGGTGGGTCAAAAGCCCCTCTCATTTCTGATGCTAGTCCAGTTCACTGCATCAGGCATCTGACTGATTATCCCCAAGAAAATGTGGCATTCAGTTATAATAAGAAAGTTTGCCTGTTCCTTTTCTGAACTTGTGATAGATGGCAGTAATGATGCTTCTTTTAAAGCAGCAGTTCTCAACCTATGGGTCGCGACCCCATTTGGGGTCGATCGACCATTTCACGGGGGTCGCCAAGCAAGGCTGTCCGACATTTTTTTCCCCTTTTCCGGCGGGTGCCTTACTTCCCTTGAGCTGGGCCAGCTGGTGGTCGGCCTGCTCCGTCTCTGCCGCTTGCCAACTACGCCTCGGCCGGCGCAGGGGGCGGAACCACACATGCGCGGTGCTCCCGGGCAGGGAAAGTCCTCGACTTACGACCGGTTGGGTAGTCCTCGACTTACAACCAGTTTAGTCCTCAACTTACAACCAGTTTAGTCCTCGACTTACGACCGGTTGGGGGGTCGCGGCATTAAAAAGGTTGAGAACCACTGTTTTAAAGGGCGATCATCCCTTCTGCTTAACGCTGGCAAATGTTTTTTATTAATTTCTAATATTGCTACCTCAAAATTTCTTGACGGGGAATTACATTTTTTTACATCCTTTTTCTCAGAGATAAATCTCAGTGAATCAACTACAGACTACTGCTTACTGGTATGCTTGTTATTGCATTGAGCACTAATAGTTCAATTACTATTAAACTAAGCATAAATAACTATGAAAAGGGACTAATCAGCTTGGCCTCAACCATTCAAATGAGCAGGGATTTAAACTTGAATTTCCCATCCAATCCTTTATACACTGAAATTGTTACCTTTGGGGCAAAAACAGCCATCCATGTAGTGCTCTTCACATAGTTTGCTGATCTCCAGGTGCGAACAGGAGTCCATACAGGGAGAACCACTTTCCAGGTAAATCATATTTTTGGGACATGACTTCGCTAAAAGAATAAAAGAATTGGGCAATGATTAGGAAACATACTTTGTATTTAATGGACAAAAATCCATTTACTATGAGGAAAAGCACACAATAGAATTGCATTTATGAGGAACTCAACTCTTTAAAATCATTGTATGTTGATTATACCATATTATTGACTGTGAATCCAATTGATCTGCAGTGAATCTTGGACTACAGTGAGGTGAATGGATTTGAAAATGAAGATATGAATGATCAAGGTAGTTGTTCTTCCCACAGAAACCGAGGAAGCAACAGATTACTTTATGCACAAAAATGGAAGGACACTTTCATTCCCACAATGGATGAATGGCTGGAAAAGTTGATGGAGTTAGCAGAGATGGCTAAATTGACTGCTTTGATTTTTAAAAAAAAAAAAAAAAAAAACCACAATTACTTTTGTTTCTACTTGGAAACTGCTTCTGGAATTTGTGCTTGAGATGAAAAAAAAATGAAACTTTGATTTTAGATTTTACCGATTAGATAGATTTGTTGTTATAGAAATGGCTAGTTTGTATTACCATGTAAAAGTAAAAAGTTGAGGTTTGATGTTATTGTCTTATTCTACTGCACCAAACGGAGTTGGAAATCAATGTCTTTTCTTTCTTTTTTCCCTTTGCCCTGCATTTTTCCTTCCCTTCTCCCTCCCTTATTTTCCCACTATTTTCTTTTGTATTTTTTTGTATTTTATATTATAAATGAATAACAATAAAACAAAAAAAATAAAGGAAGCAATTGTTAGTTATAAATAAATGGCAAAAAACCAAAACCCCACCCTCTGGCAAGGTGATGAATTTGTGTATCTCTGCAAGCTTTTTTCTAAAGATGGGGAAAGTAGCAAAATAAAATGTGCAAATTCTAGCAGAAAAGTGGTGGATAATATCTGGTCTGTTGTGAGGAATGACAGAAGCAAAATGGGCTACGTATAAGACCCTGCTCCTGCCCATTTAGTTATAGGAAAGTCTGTTGGGTAAATAAGGAAAGATATAAAAGTAAATTGATTGGAGTGGGAATGAGACTTAAGCATGCCTGGTAAAACAAGAAGAGACAGAATCAAGAGTGAAAGAATAAGCAAATGAATGTGGGTTGAATACAAACTAAGTGACCAGTAGGAAAGAAATTCATTAAAGTGGTTTGATCATATCGAGAAAATGAATGAGGATCAAAATACAAAACAAAAAGATGACAAAGTAGTAAAAAGACAGAGAATTGATAAATTTGTATTTAAAGTAGAAAAAGGACAAAGTTCTATATAACAAAATATAACTAATTTAATGTTTTATGGGTCTGGTGGAAGCAATGCTTTTTTGCAAGAATTTAATTCTTTAGTGGTATAGCCAACATGCATTGCTATAAACTAGATACGTGTATGCCTTTCCTTTCCTTTCCTTTCCTTTCTCATGCCATTACTTTCTTTGATTACTATTTTGTTCCTTTTCTCATGCTTTGAATAATTTGCCCAGAAATACCATGGTGGGGATTGATGGATGGATGGATGGATGGATAACCAACTCCAAATTCAGACAGATAAAATAATAGTCTATCAGCATTCTTTGTGAAAGTTTCCAAGTTTTTAAATGTTGTTAATATAAGACCACTGGTGGCTGCCTTGCATTTTTTAAAAAAAACACTTTCTACAGTCAGTTGACAATTCACATTTGATTGAATTCTCCTGAGTTTCAAATGGTTTTAATTTTCCTTATTTTGTTTTAACATTTTTGTAGGTCAGCTTAGTTCCCAAGACACTGATGCTCCATGGGAATGGCCCAAAATAAATAATCAATGATGGAGGAGATTAAGGAGAAACATATTCAGGATGAAAGATGGAGGATCTTCAGGACCATTCTGATGCAAAGTAAAAGAGTTTTAGTATACACACCTGCATCCTGCTTAAATTTTTTCAACTTCATTTTGTTCTTGTATGCTGCCAGACTCACACTGTTTAAGTTAGGCAGCCTTATAAATCCATTCAATCAATCAATATTATCTAAGCCAGTTTGTTACTTACGGCAGAGCTGATGGGTCCTCCAGTTCTGAGGTTTGCCACCAGCATGGGAACACTGTCGTGAATACTCAGAGATGGAACTGCAGAGGCAGAAAGAGTCGTCGGTATGCTTACAAGCACATCTGTCATGCATGCAGGCTTGAACATACAGTTCTAGATTCAGGCGATTCTGGCAATCTGCAAATGCTGGCGAAGTTAGGAGAGTTTTACACTCTTCACGCTTGAAAGAGAAGAAAACAGAGAAGGTGTCTCCCTTATATTACCTTCCAATAATAATAATAATTGATTAAAACTATAAACCAAAATTGTGCATTCAAGTTTTGGGACTGTGAAACATGGGCCACTGCTCTCAATAAAAACTGCCGGAGCAAAACCAGACAGAATTAGAGGCTGACCTCTCCATATTTCTGATAATCCATAAGGGTTTGAGAACTTACATGCTGGTTGCAGAGTTCAATAGGCTTTGTCTCATCAGGATCTTCACATTTTTTGGGGGGGTTATTGATTTTTTGTAGGTTTCCAAATGTGATTGGGTTGTAGCTTAATCCTATTAGAAACAATAAATGTGTATTTAAACAATCTCATATTTAGCTTATCTCAGCATCCTGATAAGTGTAAATATCCATATGTGATAAATCAGCTAGATATGGAGGAGTGCACGTTGTTGTGTTACGGATACCAAACAATGTACTTTGAGAACTGGAAGACAGATGATCAACAGAAATGCTGAAAAAAATGCTTTACTATATATTTAGTAAACTAGGAAACAAAACATCCTTTAGTAAACTAGGAAACAAAACAAAGCCAGCTTATATCTGGCTTTGCTTGCAAACCACAGCTTCTTGTTCTACAATACATTCATCCAGAATGGACTATTTAAATCTTTTACAGTTTTATTCTAATTGTTGATGTTCATATACTTAAAGGTTTGTTTGAATATTTCAATATTTTTCATTCCATTTTCATGGAAAAATACACGAATCTCAGAATTTAACTTGGGTTGAGTGGAAGTAATACATACAGTTGGTAAAGTGAATTCTATTGCTCTAAATATATTGCTCTAAATATATATCCCCTGACTATATTAAAAAAAAATTAATTATACAGTGGACAGTATTATATTAAATAGTAAATCAAGTTCTGCTAACTTAGTTTAATGACCTCATAATTTAGTTAAAATTTAGAATATATACAGTAAATCATTGTGCATTCTCATTTGCAAACTAATTTGCCTGGAAAAAATTAAAGTGTTGCGTATGTGATTTAAACTATTGTTTGACTGTCAGTTCTGCATTTAAAGCATGTTCTCCAGTTTGTAGTAGAATGCTATCTGTAGTGTTGCTCTACTTACCATCTGAGATAAATTCGTTGTAGATCTGTTGTCCATTATAATCTCCACAAAGGCCACAAGTTAAATTGTTGAATTTAGAGTCAAGCTCAATCTACATTGAAGAAATAAAACCAGGATATTTTGATTGATGGTGGTGATTCAGTTTCTCAAGGATATGTCTTCTTTTACATGCTGAGATCCTTTAACAAGATATGCTGGAATTCTACTTGGGACAGTATAATTAATGATACCCATTGCACCTCTGCTTTACCACTGTTTCAAGACCAGGATGACAACCAGGATCAGAAGAAGTTGTAACTGACTTACAACAGTTCATTTAGTGACTGTTCAAAGTTAAAACAGCACTGAAAAAAATAACTTATGACCATTTTTCACAGTTACGACCGTTGCAACATCCCCATGGTCATGTGATTTACATTCGGATGCTTGACAACTATTTATGATGGTTGCAGTGTGATCATCTTTTGAGATGTTTTGACAAGCAAAGTCAATGGGGAAGCCAGATTCACTTAACAACCATATTACTAATTTAACAACTGTAGTGATTCACTTTACAAATGTGGCAAGAAAAGTCACAAAATTAGGATAACTCACTTAACAAATTTCTCACTTAGAAACATAAATTCTGGGCTCATAAGTCAAATGCTGATTTCCTAAAGCAATTCTCTGATACAGAACAGGATATTTTGCAATATTACAGGACATATTTCTAATGCTAAAACTTTTACCTGAATAATTCTATGTATGAAAAAGTCCTTACAAGCTATGCAGGTTTAAGTTGTATTCAGCCAATGGTATAGAATTATTCCAAAACCTATCATAGGTACTAGAAAGAAAACCACAAACAGAGTATCAGTTGCCTATGTGATTCATATATCAGACAGAAATTGACATCATACCATCAAAGCATCTGCCTGGTTCCATATCAGAATTAGGCCCGCTTTTGCATAGAGTTTAGTATATATATCATTCTTCTCAATCAGGACACCAGAACTATAGTATGGAGTCTTTACCCTGTAAAGAGGGATGACAGAATAGTACATGCATTGGTGTCCATTGCAATGAAGAGCTCAAGCATTAGAAGTCGATCATATTTCTATAATTAGTACCTCTGTATAATTAGTACATTGTACCTCTGGTCTATTTTTACATCCAAACAGAATTGTTTTCAGAATTGTAATGTTTGTTGCCTGATTTGATCCCACCCCATCCCTCCAAATTGTACCTGGGTTTGGCTCCATATTTGTGCAATCTTAATAGCTCAGTCAAGCCAACAAGTACAAATATACTGTTTGCTGGAAGCAGTCCTCTTTTTCAGTAAAACTCTCATGAGTTAGAAGATATTTGGCAAGTGTAGGCAATGAGAAAAAGAACCCCACTTTAATGAAAAATGGGTTGTTTTCCCTAGCCTCTTCCACAAACCTCTGAAAATCTGGTAACAGGGAATAAATATGATATTAAAAGACACCAAATTTTAGTTGGTTTCAGTCAGGCTAATTCCAGTAATGACTTTCTGCAATGTCACTATGTATGATTCCCGCTAGCATATTTTAAGACATATTTCCTTGTTCACTGAAATAATTGTACTCCATTCTATTCAGTCTACCAACAGATTAGTTGGAAGCATCCTATACATGTGGCTAGTCAGCAGGAAAAAATCAGGAGGAAAGTACTTGAATGCAAAGCTACAGAACTTATCGGAATAAATATAACTTCACTGGCTGCAGCAATCGTATTAGACTGAGATAGGCTTATGATGCGCGTTTAACCTTTTCTGATATAAAAAGCAAGGGGATTGTTTAGACTCATTTTTTCCCTGTGCTATGCTGAGCAGGATCTTATATGCAGGTTTTTACTCATTTGCGAGATTTGCTGCAAAGTAAAAGGTTAGTCAACCCTAGAATAATGGAACAGGTCACATTACAGGAAAAGAGAAATATTAACATTCATTAAGAGAAAGAATATGTTTTCTTAAGCCAATTACCCAACATTTACCATGGGTTTAAAATTCAATAATCTGGTCAGGAATGTAAAATGCTAATTACAGAAGAAAAAGCTACCATCAGTTATCTCACCTATGCTAAGGGAGAAAAACAACTAAAGCTTCTATACCAGTATATAGAACCAGTATATCTACTGACTAAAAGGGACATTTTCCCATTTGAACCTTCTAGTATAGTCTTCTAATCCTTCTAATCTTCATGCTTTATGTTCAACATGAACTTGGATGAGTTTCTAGTAATGACCATTCAATTTTAAGTCAAAATCCCTTAATAATATAGAAAAATCTTCTCAGTAGATATTGTCAGATTGGGGTGTTTGTAACATATAGAAAATCAAGATCATTATGCTGTTGCCCATAGGATACAGAAGAAATTCTAGTGACGTCCAGTGTTTGATCTAAAGAGAACTTACCCAATGGATCAACATGGACATAACTTTATTTGGCAACTTTCAATACAACCTCTCTCTTAGTTTCAGTTGTATTTTTATAAGTTGACATTATAATGTTTAATTAACAATTGTTCTAAAAGTCAACAAGATGAAGCTAGTATAAAAGAAGGAGTGACTGCATGTGGAATGCAATTGGGTGAAATGTGACCAGATGAAAAGTTGAAAAATATTGTTATCCTCTGGATTGAGAATGAAATTGCTGACAATAATATTGTAGCATATTGAAGTTCAACAGTCCAGGAGCCAGCTTCATTATTAGCCTCTACACTGAGTGTCTAATAGCAACAGAGGTGTGCAAGCCTTAGGAATAGTAACTAAAACCCATTTTACCTCAGATGTTTTTCCTGAATAATCATGCCTGAATTCAGTCCAAATTTTGCTTTAGTTGAAAACTAACTTATTTTGTACCTCTCTTGAAAATTTTCTGAAGAATTTCAACATTACTTCAAACTTTGCTCAAAGCTACATTTCTTTTGAAAATGTAGCTTGAGTTTCTACACAGTGTAGCTTCTGAAAGTTTTGGGCCATAGCTTCTGCGATATTAAAGCTTCTGCGGTGAAATTTTGGTGAAAGATTGTCAGAATTCAAAAGTTGCATGCTTGGAAACCTAATCATATCAGAGGAACTTACGTTTGCCCATCTACCACAACCCTCTTGTGAGTGAGGTAAATAGCAACATCTTTGATTGCAACAAGAACATATTGGATATTAGGGTGCAGTTGGTCATTCTGCTCACGCTGGATATGAACAGAGAACTCTTTATAAGTATCTCGGCAGTCTGAAGCAAAGTTGTAATCACAGATCCCAGGAAATTGGTAAAAATCTCCATCAAAGGTTTTGAAATGGTTGTTCCCCCAAGTACTGCAGACATAGTGACCATGGTTAGATTTTCTTACTGAAAAGACAAAAATGTGGTGACAAATAACCATTAAGGACTATTATGAAGCAAAATAAAAAACAACAACCCCAGATCAATAACACTTAAGTAATTAAGTCAAAATAAACAATTTAAACAGCCTTGGAATGGGGAAAGCTTGCCAGTATCAAATGTTTGACTAAAATTCTTAGCATTTTATATTACCATTGTTGATTGCATCATCTCAAGAAATATGCGCACATAGAGCATGAAAAAGAGGCATAAATATTGTCATTTTTTCTGGTATAACAAGATTTTTGCACTATGGGAAGCAGAGGGAGAATGTTACCTGTTAATGTGAGTTAGTAATGTACTGTGATGGTAGTGCGGTACTAAAGCATTTAAAACAAAATTGCTACCATTTATACCAAATAAGATGTGATTTTTGATTGAAAGTTGCAGATTCGAGTTATATTCATTAACAGTAGAGATATTTAGATACGTCTTGCTCTGTTTGCAGGTCTTTAGCATTTGAAGATTAATGAAAAAATCAAAATCAGTATCCCAGTGCTGAAATGGACATTATAGTACAGCAAAGTGTTACCCTCCCTATTAATACTGTTAATATTACATTTATTATGATCACTGACCATAATTCAACAAGATAACAGCAGATAGAACAAAATAAAACAAAAGAGTTTACATCACTAACGCAGTCAAATGGCATCTGGTTTATAAAATTTTGTAGCAAATATTGACCACGTTCATAGAAACTGAATCATACTGGCCAGATAACAGCCGCTGTACATAGAATAAATGAGATTTGCTTAGATACTTGGTTAAATAAGGAGTTATAAGATGCACTTTGCATCCTTAAAAAATGCAATACAACAGGACTACAGATTCAATAAACTCTGCGACAAATACCGTAAGCCAAGATCTGCCATGCCTTAATATTGGCAACATATTCATTCATATCATCCAGAATATTCTCTGTTACAAGCAGAGATGAGGAGCACCCAGTACCTTCCATATTTTCAAAGCCCTGAGTAATCATTGGAGGACTTGAAAGCTTGTCTGATGTGCATTACAGCAAGCCTCGTGTGCTCTTTAGGATTCCTTATTGGCCATTTCTATAGCATATTTGTTAAACATCTTACCTGTTTTAATTTCACTTGCATAGCAAAGTACCAGCCCTAGCAACAACAGGCTGGTCACCTTTGGCCCCATGGTGGCTACGAGTGCAAGGCAGGTGCAAGTCTACAGCCTTTCTTTATATAATGCCCATTGGTGCAATCCATCCCACCAGAAGGGAGGAAGAGGAGGGGTCAAGTGTTTGTACAATGTTTATTTTCAGAAAGCAAACAGACCTGGATTTTTTTATTGTAATAGCTGTAATCTAACATTCAGGAAATAGAATAATATTTTTTTTATTTATTGGTTCAGTTATCATGCAATGACCCTTTTTATGGCCCGTTTATATTTTATTTCTCAAAAGGATGCTGGACTTTTTTCCATTTCACCCAGGCTTAATTTAAGGTATATTTTAACTATAGACAGTAGATGCTCAGTGTAGGAATATTTTATTTAAGAATAGCCCATGATCCTAGAAATACTTTTTTTCTGAATAAGAACTATTTAGAATTCCTCAAATCCTAAGATTTAGCCTTTGGAATAAGATTAATTGTAGTTGTTATGAGAAAATTAAGATACTGATATTGTTTATTGATTAGCAATATTAATGCAACAGTAGATCCAAAGAATATATACTAGTTCCATCAGTGCTTTTTTTCTAAAAAAAAAAAAAAAAAAAAAAGGTGCCGGAACTCACACATGTCATACAACATGCCTTGCCTACTCTACAAGGTTCCATCCAAAAAAAGTGGTGGAACTCCGTTCCGGGCGTTCTATGAGAAAAAAAGCCCTGAGTTCCATGCATCTGAAAAGAGGGTTAATTTACTATTAAAATACCCTGCTCATAGGACCATTATTCTCACTTTGCATGACCCTCTTCTTCCACGTTAGGGGAAAATCTTGTTTGAGAGCCTCAGAAAGTTTGAAAGTGGCACTGTGGAATGTCCTTCAAAGAAATAAATTATATTTGTGCACTCAAGGTTTTTGGTTTGCTCCTACATGGATGCTGGCACTGAGCTGAAGAAAAATAGGATTTAATTCTAAATAGGATATCATGTACTTTGTGCCAGCAGCTATGAAAAAAGAACATTCTCAACTTTCATGCTGGCAAAGTAACATCTTTCTTCTCTTTGTTAAAGTATACAAGAGATTTATCTCAAGTTCTCCTAGAGGTTTTGAACAACCAAAAGGCAAGGAGAGCCTCCACTAGACCCTGCATTTCCAGAATTACATTCATAGGTCTAGCTTTGCTGTGCTAATAAATCTTTATTGGCATTGTATCATTTCAGATGAAAGGTGAGGCTCACATGACTGAATAGTCTCTTTTAATTAAAAAAATAAGTTTGGGAGACTCTTCTGCTCATAGAACCTTCTTGTACAATTTAGAATCTGGCATTATCAGGATTTGTAATGGTAAAAGCCACCAGAAGGAGACTAATCTCCATTTCAAAAGAGTGTTTGCCTATCATTTTACAGAATGAAATGTTGAAGGGAAGGAGAACCACAGAAAGGGGCAGTGGTGGGATTCAAATATATGAACAACCGTTTTTTTGTGTGGATTCCGCTTCCGGAGGTCCGGCTGAATCCCACCACTGGAAAGGGGGCAAAATTTATGAAGGCATCCGACTTTCCTTTACAGTATTTGATAGAGTATACTTACATAAGGCTATCTAAGGTATCTACAGTGGCCTTTTAAAAAGCCTAGAGGATTAGTGGTTCACCTGATGCATTTCCACAGTCCATAATTAAAGGTTTTCTTGTTCCTTTTCACAAAGGCTGAACTCTTGTCATTTTAGATTGAGCTGAATAACCTTTAGAGGAGGGGAAGCAGCTTTCTGTGTCAATGTTTAATGGCAATTGAGAAGAAGCATGATTTTAACATTAAAAAACTATCATGTCAGATCAGCTGGCCTCTAACCCCATTTGTGTAAAGAAGAATTTAAAAAAAGGAAGATGCTAGAGTGAACCCATTAATATTACTGAACCCCAACATGTCCAGAAATTTGATGCTGGGTTGATTTTGCTGCTCCCACACTTGGTACTCTCAGTAAAGCAGTTTCATCTACTCCTAGTATCAAAGAAAAGTGAGATTAATAAATAAAGCCCAGTGATTTATCTCAACACACAAATTTGGTTCTGGACAGGAATACAATAATGGATACAGAATTTTTTTTAAAAAAAAATCTTTATGGGATGCATGTTTTTTTCCTATTCGTTTAACAAATGTATTAATTCTTTATAATACTCCAAATCTGTTTGAATCCTCTGCAGTTCTATGGTCTCAAAGCTGCTGAAATAAGACTGGTGCCAGAATTTCACACTCTTGATCAAAGTTTCTTCTGATTTCAATTTGTAGGCAAGCATGCCCCTTCTAATTTTTCTGTTTTTAAATAATAACATGTCACAGCCTTGTTGGGTCAGGTTAAGGACCATGTCAATCCATCGTTTTATTTTTCACAACAAGCAACTATATATCTCTGGGAGAATTTCTCAGTAGAAGATATTCTTCTCCCATCATTGTTCTTCTGCAAGTGGTATTTGGAATGCTGCTTTTTCCACCATGGAGGCAATATTGTAATTTCAAATCTAACAGACCATAATAGAATGGTCTTCCATGAATTCATCCAATCCCTTTTTAATTTCATTCAAGGTAATGACCATTGCCACATCTTGTGGAAATGAATTCTAGAGTTTAATTATACTCATTGTGCAGAATTATGTCATTTTGTTAATTCTAGGTCCTTCTGAGGGAAGGGAAGGGAAAAATAGGGGGAAGGAACCCCAGCATCTCTTTCCTGGCCCATTCCTCCTCATGCACTCCCCCAATTTGTGCTACCCCACTACAGTACATGCTATTCCCAGTCCAAATGAAATTTCTTATACACCCCCATGCACTGTCTCCAACTCATTCCCTGTTTCTTTCTTGACCCACGTGGCACCTGTTGCACACCCCCATGCACTTTGCCCAAACCATATCGTCCTACTCCCATACAATTTCTCTGACCTGCAAAGGAACTCTCATATACTTCCAAACACCACCAGTCACCCTTCCCTATTCATACACCCCACATACCATACCTAACTCACAAGGCATCTCTCAAACCTCCCAGCAATCTCCATGCACCCATCTTGATCCATGTCACTCCCTTCTCACACACCCTACCTGACCCATGTGGTTTCCCTTTCAAACATCATCACACACCCTTCCTAATCTACACAGCCCCTCTTTCATACCCCCATATACAATTCCTGATTTGCATCCAGCACACTCCCTCACTTCCCTTCCCAGGTAGCAGCCATTTATTGTCTGTTGGCCTTGAACCTGCAATTTCCTGCTGGCTTCTCCATTGACTTTCTTCTGGCAAGCTTACCACAATCAAAGTAAATGGGGAGGAAGGAAGGAAGGAAGGAAGGCAGGCAGGCAGGCAGGCAGGAAGGAAGGAAGGAAGGAAGGAAGGAAGGAAGGAAGGAAGGAAGGAAGGAAGGAAGGAAGGAAGGAAGGAAGGAAGGAAGGAAGGAAGGAAGGAAGGAAGGAAGGAAGGAAGGAAGGAAGGAAGGAAGGAAGGAAGGAAGATTTCTAATGGTCCCTACCAATCTCCCATATGAAAACTCAGTGGGGAAGCTAGCAGGAAGTCAGAAGTTGCTCCTACTCAAATTGCTTTTTTTGCCCACATGTAGCATTCTATTTCTCTGTGTATATAAGAAACTATCTCTGAAACAATGACCCAATGGGGCACTGGCTATCTAGTGGTCCACAAAAGGTGTGTGCATGTGTGTTTGATATCATATGCAGACTTAGCTAGCTCATTAATAAACTAGTTTGGGATGCTTGGGAGATTTCATTTCTTGCTTGTCCACATTGAGGAAACTGTCAATTTATTTCTACACTTTGCTTCCTGTTCATAGCCTTCAGCAGTTCTTAAAAGAACAAGTCCCCTTATCCCATAATCACAATCTTAACTTCAGAGTCTTTAATGAAGGACTTCATCACAGCCTTTTTTCGAGCAAACTGCATCAACGGAATCATTTCCTTCCACATTCTTTTTCTCTATACATCCACATCTTCTAAAAACATAAACAGGTTGATGAAGATATTTTTGCATCAATTTGCCCCAAACAGACACTATTCTAATGGACTATAACAGAGTTTCTCACTTTGACAACTTGAAGATGTTTGGACTTCAATCCCCAGAATTCCCCAGCCATTCTCCACACATTTTCAAGCTGCCAAAGTTGAAAAACACTGGCCTGTAATATGCTGAGTCTTCCCTGAATCCCTGTTTAAAAACTAAATAAATCTCTGCAATATTTCCAGGCAGCAGTTACCAACTTTTTAGATGACTTTTGGGGAGAGGGTTCACTCATGAGTACTTTTGATAGGATGCCATTCTTCTTTCTTATTCACAAATACATGTGTATGGTTTGGTTTCTTATCAAAGAGTTATTAAACATGCATCAAAGCACAGATGAGTAGCATCACATCTCACTGTGTATGAGATAACATTTTAGAGAGCCAAAGCAACATTTTGGGAATCTGGTAGGATTGGGGAAATCTGTGAACTAGACTAGGTTTAATATTATAGTAGTTAACTATTTCCTTTGTTGAGCCTTATAAATAGTTTGCAATCCAGAATGACTGACAGATTGAATTTCTGAAGGCATTCAATTTCTTCAGAAAATGTATTGGAATGGAATGTCTATCAGAGCTTGAGGCAAGTGTCACTCTACTCACAGGCAGCTGTGAGAAATGAAGGCAGTGAAAGAGAGGAAAATGAGCTAAAAGAACTTCAGGCCATAGAGACCCATACCCAGAGATTTAGAGTGTGGGGATCCACAGAGGTGAAGAGAGAAGCAAAGATTGGAGAACAGCCCATTACCCAGTAACATCTCACACAGGAGAGGATCATGTTATAGTGCCAAAAAAGGTTACTGAGACCATTAGCTGTATTCCTCACTACATCAAGGTAGATGTTTTGGTGTAACCACATTTTGGCAATCTGATATGAGATGGCTGATTCAGCGTCTTGCAATATTTCCTCTTAAAGGCCACTGTACAGCTTTTCAAAAGAAAGCACTTTTCACAGTTTGGAAATTTT